AGGTCGTCTAATTATCGCGTTTTATCACTTTGGTTTACTTTTTATTCAAACGTTCGCGTATGGTTAGAATAATTTTGAGTTAAAACACGTACAGCTGTATGGTGGCCCATCGTTGTCACGCGTAAAATTGAAAATAAAAAATAAAATAAAAAACCGATAATAAAAATTTTTTTGTAAAAAAACATAAAAAAAAATGAAAAAAAAAATTAAAATTAAAAAAAAATAAATGAATAAAAACGAAAAAAAAAAAAAATAAAAAAAAAAAAAAAAAAAAATTGAATAAAAAGAAAATAAAAAGGTTGACAACGATGGTCCGCCTCGTGGCCCATCGTTGTCACGCGTTTTTATTTTCAGAAAATTTGCTTCTGCTTGGGACCAACGTTGTCAGGCATAATCCTACGCGCACAAATGTGTTCCCTGGGTTTCAAACTCACTACTGATTTTCTTGAGCAATATTCAATATGAAAATGTTCTATAAATTCTCCATGCTACAAGTTCAACAAGAAGTAATATATTTATAATAATGATAAGAGAATATAGAATTGAATACGAAAATTCGGAAAATTTGTTTTTACGTGTATAAGGTAATTTAATTGGAGAATGCTGCTTAACTACTCAGTTGTCTGGACACTCGCGATGCCGGTACCGTACCGTCTTACCAAATACCGGTAGTCGGTTATAGTCGCTTTGCGTCTGACCGTACCGGTAGCCATACAATCACTCATCATCTCCCATTCTTTCACGAGTGATTGCATGGGTACCGGTACGGTCAGACGATACCGTACCGGCATCGCACGAGTGTCTGAGCAGTTAAGCAGCATTTTCCAATTAAATTACCTTCTACACGTAAAAACAAATTTTCGTATCCAATTCTATATTCTCTTATCATTATTATAAATATATTACTTGTGGTTGAACTTGTAGCATAGAGAATTTGTAGAACATCTTCATGTTGAATTTATTGGATATTGCTCATGAAAATCAGTAGTGAGTTAGAAACCCAGGAAACACATTTGTGCGCGTAGGATTAAGTCTGACAACGTTGGTCCCAAGCAGCATCAAATTTTCCAAAAATAAAAACGCGTGACAACGATGGGCCACGAGGCGGACCATCGTTGTCAACCTTTTTATTTTCTTTTTATCCCATTTTTTTTTTTTTTTAATTTTTTTTTTAATTTTAATTTTTTTTTAATTTTTTTTTTGTTTTTTTTTTCAATTTTATTTTAATTCAAATTTTTTTTTATTTGTTTTTTTTTCAATTATTTTTATGTTTTTTCACAACTATTTTTTAATTTTCGCTTTTTCATTTTATTTTTTCATTTTTTTTTTAAATTTTACACGTGACAACGATGGGCCACCATACAGCTGTCAACCAAAGGAAGCTAAATAAACCAATAACTTACACGTTCTCGTGAACAAGCTTAAATCTACAATAACTTGAGTTGTCAAAATCGGTAAATTTTTAATTGAATCAAAACTTCAACTGTAATTTCTACGTAAATGTGTTTTCAATGTTAACTTTTCATTTTGCCAAGCTTGTAGGACGTACATACATAGAGCCATCTGGCCATGCTTGGCCTAACTATCAATTATCTCATTTTAGCAGAGTACCGGTAGTTAAATTTAATTCCGCGAATTGCGATTAAGTTTACGACATTTACCACAGTGCGTGATGTATAGTTTGTGAGTGTGCCATGTATGGCCAGGCTATATCAATAGATTATACTTGGATTTATTTCCATGCCAAGCATGAACGACTGTATCAAAAGCTTGAAACTAGAAATAAAATGGAGATTGTGAGTACTGGATTTCATTAATCTTATGCTTTGTCCGGACAGACGCGATATTATCTTGCTTATCTGGTGAGGTATTGTGTGATGTTGCCAAGCCTTATATATAATTCATTGGCGCAGTCAGGTGGGGATGTCTTATGGGACAGATTCTGAAATATTTGGAAGAATAGAAAAGTTGCTAATAACGCGCGCGATTGTATTTTGTTAAAATCGCCGATTGTTTTTGACAGCGTAATATGTAGGCCGGAAATACTTTACGCCTGTGTTTATTCTCCATAAATTTATTATGTAATCATCGGCGATGAGATGCTAAATATCATATAAAAATAATTCTGTGCTCTCAAATATTCTAGTATCTAGATCGAAAAACGGCAGTATAAAATTATGAGAATACAACAGAAAACACCATACAACCTGTTTTAGGAGGCTCGGGAGCCGCGAGAGATCAAAAACGCCCTTTTCGATAGTGTAAATCTTATTATTTCGCGGACGTATGGCACACAGGGTTGATCGGTTTTGGAAACCAGACTGTCACTGGAATCGAAATAGTCATTCGTGCCACGATCAACTTCTTCCTCATCCATTCTATACTACTTTTTCTCGCATTGTGATAGTATGTAAGTTTCAAATCAATTTTTATTATACTAAAATAAATTTTATTCCGTGAGAGTTTTACACAGATCTGGTGTAAAATGACTAATGTGATTCGTTCGCTCCGAACAAGGCCCTATATAAGCGGCGACTGGTATCTAATAATATATAAAAAAATATAAAAACTTAATACTTTTATTAATTAGGAACCGGAATCTAATAAAATCCAGTATTGCTTACAATTCACCACACCCTGTGTGGTGTGGTAAGCCTAGGTTTAAATCTGAGCTGAGTATGTAGCCTGCGATGCTAACACAGCCAACTTTTTAACCGCTTTGCCATTGCACTACGTTGTTCACAATCCGGGTAATAATATATTGAAGGGTGGGGTTCTTTAAATTGTTCTCGACAAACTAAGACATAGAAATCGAATCGGAGTATGTAACCGGCTAGTGCTATGTCAGCACAGCGAAATCTAGCGCTTTAACCTCCATCTAGACCAGGGTGGGAAATATGTGGAAGGGGCGAGGTATGTCAATCAAGGTTGTTTCTGACAAATTCCGACAAACTAAGAAGTGTTTTGATTTGAAAGTCATTCATTGGTTGTGCTGGTTTAAGACTCTTAGTCGACGTTTGAACTAATAAAAGCCTAGTATCCAAGTATACTTGTTTCTATCTGTATTAGGTTTATCACACTAAGAAACCACTCGATTAATAGGCTCGATTATATTTATTCAATTGCTACATCTATCGCTGCAAAAAATCATTAAAACGCTCAATGAATTAATGTAAAATGACATAATAATGAACAACGAAAGTTACAGACTTTAAAATCCAAATCAAATCAACCAAAATCAAAAAAAACTTTAATGAATTAAAATAAAATATCAGTAACTGACGTGAATCAATGTAAACTAACAGTAAACTTAATTCATTTTATTACAATACAATCAATGAAAATCGTTGGGGTCATTTGTCCGGTACATTAGGATCAATGACAGGCAAGCTTGTACTTGGGCATCGATATCAAATGGAGCGATTAATACAATCAGGATAGTTTGTAAGAAGGTTCGAAACCAAGACTTCGCCTGTCAAATATTAGATTTCATGCTTTGAATGAGCCGATGGAAATGACATGAGAAATAATTATGAAATATCCGTTAGTTTTTGTGTTTTTAAAAGTGCATAAATCCAAATTTGAGAGTAACGTTGCAAAGTCGAGAATTGCTGAAGCGTTATCTATCATCAAAGTTCAAATGAACTCATAATTGCTACGCAAACTACTGATAATCAAAATCTACAAGCATACAACAATATACAAGACTGACATTATCAGATCAAAAATATACAGAAACAAAAATAATTTAAAAATATATTTCTATATTAGCATGGAGCTTAAAATGTATTTGGGTTATATGGCAGGGCCGTGTGAGTCAAAAAATGTTTTCATTGGAGCCGATATTCTCAAATTATCCGGGGCGGGACACTGAAATATAGATATTTCGAGAGACAGGATTTTAAGCGTTAAGTGAAATCAAAATTTTTCCAGAAAACAAAAATATTTAAGATTACATATGAATTAAAGATGGCAGGCCACTACTTTGTATATGCCACTTGGTTATGTATTTCTCTCCGAAAAAGGCCACTATCTAACGATGCCTGGGAACCGGAATATTTTTGGTTCGTCGGCAATCTGGAGCTGAGTGTAATCTGCGTTACCAAAACAGTTATGGGGATTTCCCAGCCATTGTCTAATTATGGGGACTGTAAACCTGTTTGTTTATTAATAACAAGTTGAAGATCTTGGGTCGAATCCTTCTTGGACTGTTAGAAATCAACAGTGATAAAATAAATTGAGTCTCATCCATTGATATAAGGAAACAAAAAACACAAATGTATTAGCAATCGCGTGATAAAAGATTTAGCGATTCGGTTCCAAACAGATAAAATAGATACAGTGCTCAAAATCAACACTTATTTATAATTATACATTCTACATATTATTAAAATGCAATTATCATTGCTTGGAGTTGTTATTGTGAAATTTTCATAAAGCAAGGTCACGCACTGACTCAGAAGCAAGGAAGGCTGATTTTCCAGCGAATTTATGGGCGACCACTAAAAGGGTGAGAACTAACTACTGAAGCTAATATGATGGCGCACTCACCCGGAAATAAATGAAACTGATCTCTCACCTACAGAATGGAATACCAAAAACTACTGAAACTAAGAATAATTATCGCGTAAATGAAATATTTTTTTATAAATGATCGGAGACTCGCGGTTTTGTATTTTTCTATATCTACTATAATAATTTGAAGAGATAATAGTTTGAAGAGAAAAAAACAGGAAAATGTTTGAATTTGGAGGAGTTTGATATTTTTTTGTAGATTTGGTTTTTCTAAATTTGAAAATCTTATTTTATGCGGGGGATTTTGTGATTTACAGCAATTTTTTTGTGTTTGAAATGTTTTTAAATCTAAGTGATCTAATATCGTACTTAAATTCGTTCTTGAGAATTCAAATAAACTATTTCGACATCAATTGTACAAAGTCCGAAAAAATTTCATAAAAAACATGGATTGAATGCGTCCCCAACTACAAGGTTCATTCAGATCAACACTTTTTCATCATTTCCCGGGTGTTTTTCAAGTTTTTCGTTGTCGTTTCTATACTAGCTTGTTTCTTCTTATCACTAGGCCAATTCTCAGCTTTCTCAGTCGCATCCAGAGATTGCAAATAAAACGATTCAGCCTTGGAATAATCACCGAGATTTTTATGCGCTGAGCCAATGTTGTTTAATAGATTCCCAAACACATAATATTTTCCAGCGTTTGAACCAAACGTTTTTTTCAACAAACCTCCACCTTCGTTATAAAATTCGATCGCTTTCTTATATTTGCCAACCGCATCGTAACTCAAACCAACATAATTCAAGCATCTCGCTTCCATATTCGCTCTATTATTCTTATCAGATCCTGATACTGATCTCAACTCTGTCAACATATCAGTGATCATTCCCAAGCCAACATCTGTTGCAATCGCTTTCATTCTATCGCCTTCCTTAGCCATAGCCTCGATCACGCTGTAACATTTAAATGCGCAATTCCTAATCCCATCAACCGAATCATTCGTGTTCGAATCGAACTTATACAACTTAGCACAACAAGAGAGTAAAATCAATGCACGAATATGAGAGGAATCAGAAATGTAAAAATCAACTAATTTGATTACGTCATCGACTTTAGGTTTCGGTGATGACGTCATCATTGTTTGTAACGCTTCAACACACCTCAATGCGTTTCTTTCTCTTCCGAGTTGAAAGTAGCATTCTGACATCATTAGCTGTTGATATGGTGACGGCGAAAGATCTTCCATCTGATCCGCAGCTTCGATGAATTCGTTATTTTGCATGAGATGACGCGAATTCTCTGGAAATATTTGTTGTAGTTATTAGGTTTATATAATTTTGCGCTCGCACTTTATTGCAAACAAACATATAATACAACGTTGATATTTCATTGATTTTATTAGAACAGTGTTTCCCAACCTTTTTTGGTCGCGGATATTTTCTCACCGGGGAAAATCTTTGCGGACTCATTGTGCGTTAATTGTAAACCTGATCTGTGTGTGAAGAAGCAATAAATCAAAAACGAGAATATCGGTCAGAGACCGAATACTTATCGACTCGAAAGTTAGGGGATCCCCCAAAACAGCGCTCTTACTCCATAGTGACACCTTGTGTGCCATCACTAATTAATCAATAATTTTGCTTATTTATAACGACATAATTCATCCAAATCCAATAAGCTTCTGGTCCGACATAACATGAGGTATGCACATGCAAAATTTGGAGCAGATTCAATCTTGCTTTCGTGAGATATCGCGTGCATCTAACAGACAGACAAAATTACCAACTAAAAGGATGTGAAATCATGTTTGATTCGGCGCCGTTTGCTGTTCGAATATTTTAACCAGCCCTACTCGCTAATTATTGACTCGATTAATTTTATGGGAATGAACTTGCCTTTTAAGTCTGGGTAAAACGTTTCCGCCCTGCAATGAATTTTGCGACACTAAAAAGCTCAGTGACCTATATGAAATATACTACTACATAACTTTTATGTGTATAAACTTGCCTTTTATGTTTTATGTAAATACTAACGTAAATCGGAACTTGGCTGGTACTTAGGTCTGGTAAAAACGTTTTTGCGCCGCAGTGAATTTCGCGACACTGAAAAGGTCAGTTGCCTACATTAAATATACTACTACATAACTTTCTAAAACGGTGTTGCTCGTTGAGGACTCATTCAAAACGCTCTGCGGACTCATTTGAGACCGCGGACTCGGTTGGGAAACACTGTATTAGAACCTTAAACTGGAATAATTTTGGGAGTAAGCTTGCGATTTTGGAGTCAACAGCTTACTCTGTTATTTGCAACTATTTTCGAACGGCATCTTTAACTTCAAACAAATCTCGGTGCTTCCCGAAGTTTTCCTACCAAGATGGCGCACTATCTGAACATAGTATGTGTACCAGGTTATGGTTCAGGTTGTGCGTCGTATCTTGGGTACGAAAACTTCGGGAACACCAGGATTTTGTTTGAAGCACCCACTTCCGGAGCGCCCAAATTTCTATACAAGCGGCCACTGGTATGTAAGGACTTATGTTTAAAAGTACCTGGAATTTTCCCGGTTTCCCACTCACTGTTATTCAACCCTAGGTGAGGTGATGGACAACCAGTTTAAAACCGAAATGTACCTGATACCAGTTTTGTCGCCTGCCCTATAGCGATACCAATGAAAAAACGCCGATATATTAAAAGCCGATACTTTATAATTATTGGACACGTTTATTGGACACGTTTAGTGGCCATAACGATCGTTTCAAAATTTTGTTGTTATTGTTATTTTCTTTCGTCATTATCATTAAAGATAAAAATTTTAAAAGATAAAATTTAAAGATAAAATTTTTCTCCAAAAGGCTATTACTTTTTTTTCTCGCTATGACGTCATCAAAATTATTGCCATTGGGTGGCGCTACGTGTCCATATATTTGAGAATAGCTCTCTTGTTACATTAAGTGGGCAGACGGATTTAAAACAATAGTCTGTGAGCATTATTCACAGTGCACATTATTTCAGATTGAAAAAGAGATATTTCAGACTGATGTTTGTGATCAAAATGCATTTATTCATTTAGACGCATTTCGCATCGATGCCAACAATCACTCATGAGTTTGGCTATACGATGAGTGATAAAATGAATAAATGGTTACTTACTATCGAGTTGCGTGCGCAGGATTGATATATTTTATCATAATCACCATGTAATATTGAAAATGTGAATATAAAAATTTGCCGGAAAAAATAGCCAAATTATTTGAGCTAGTTTGGCTGATAAATGGTTAAAACAGGCCAGAATCCTGTTTCCGTTTCTGCTCGCGGAGATTGGGATGAGCATGGTTCAGAGTTAACGAGACCAATACCGCGAACACAATTCCTCCAAGCAAATAATAATAACATTAGTATATATTCTGAATTATTTTTGAAAACATTGTGGATCAGATTAAATATCTAAATATATAGGAAATATCTGTATTTAGCCGATGCCGTTACCGAAAAAATGGACGATATGGCCGATACCGATACATCTCCACTCATGATACTTAAACAAGTTCAGTTAACCAACAGGTTATCCCGCTGGAATCAGAGTTTTATTACTTCGGTGTTAAATAGCGGGCAGCAAGTCTTTTCGTACAAGATATCGGCATTTGTCGTATATATTACTCATTGGATACACGATGTTCAAGTGGACAAAATATAAAAAATCACAAATACCCACCAAATGCGATGAAATCCATCATTCCGCCGCTCAAATTCATACTTCCAAGCGATTGTGTGACGTCAGAGGATGAGGATGTACGTTCGGTGTCTAAAGCAAAGTTGAATCGGTTGATGAAAATCAGTCGTCAATATATATTGTGAGCCAAGCTTTTGTGGCTCACAATAAATATTTAGAACCTATACGTGCTATATAGCAGAACTTTGACTCCCTACTCACTAACGCACAGTAGGCCCGAATGCAAAATAAAAAATGTTGATTGTATTCACATGTCTAAATATCTGCGCTAGTATATACAAACGGCCTATTGACCCTTTTATTTCAAAAGAAGAAGCTGGTTTAGCCTGGAGCCGTAAGCCATCGGAAATCAGTTCCTTATGTAAAAGAATATATTGCCGTACGTTAATCGTGAACCAAATAAACATCAAAGCGTCGACATACTTTGTGTAAACAGCATTGGTGAGTTCTCTACTTTCTCTTCATCTGATTCTGTGAAAACATTTGTTGGAATCGAATCATGTTGTAGTGTTTCTGGCTGAGTAGCTGCTGAGTTACCTGAAAATGAGTTGAATTTATTTCAACAACCTCCTATTGCTATTGATGAGGAAGCATATTTGAGCTGAAAATATACCTGGTGTTGGAACGACGACCTGTCGAATCTTTGCAGCCTGAACATCCGTCTTGTGCCTGGAAATAAAATGAAAAATTGTTTTCATATATTCAATGATAGGTAATTAGACACACTTTATATACACTTTTTTTTTTTCAAGTAAAATTCATAAAAATATTCAAATCAATACGTTACGTATACTCCAGGTTTAGGAATGAGATAAGTCATAAACAGCTTAATAACTGCCAGTATTTCAAAACTTATGCGCTACCACTGAAATGAACGGGTTATTTGGAGGAAAATGAATGTTTCACTTTAAACCAGTGTTTCTCAACACGAGTCCGCGGTCTCAAATGAGTCCGCGAAGCGTTTGAATGAGTCCGCAACGAGCCAGAAATTCACTGCGGGCCACAAATGTTTTTGCGAAACTTAACTATCAACCAAATTACGATTTACGTTGAAATTTACATAAAACAAAGAAAGTTTATTCACAAAACATTAATCGAGTCAATAATTACTGGTTACTGAGTAGGGCTGGGCATATATTCGAATATTCAAATATTAGAATAGCAATTTACTGTGCGAAAATTTGGTGACAGGTGACGCGACAGGTCACTTGTGCGTCGCTTAAACAAACGATTGTAACACCATAAGTTTTTTTCTGATGATCCGCGACCGATTAAAAACACTTTTTTGACATTGCAAATCGCAAAATTTCGGGTGCTGTCGTAGTATACGCACCAGCAACGACATGTTTAATGTCATTTGTAACAGGGCGTTTTTCCCTAGGATTCTTTGCTTCATGGCCTCCACATCAGTACGTAAAGTACTGGAGCGCAGTAACTGCAGTACGGACATCTCAGATTTGTCGAATTCACAAAAATACGAATCAAAACAAAATAATCGGGCACTTTACCACACATTTTTGTGTCCACTGATTGTCATGATATTTTCCGAGTAGTATTGCATTCATTTCGTCAACACAACCGAAGATTAAAATGCGACGCAGATCACAATTAAATTAATAATAAAGCAAGGCGATGAATGTTTATTTTTGATTTACTAATATACATATATTTAATTAATAGGTGCTAAATCAAGTTGTACTTTCTGGAAATTTATAGCAGTTAGCAGGCGGTAACAAATTTGCAAGATCGCAAAAAATATGTATAAAAACTAAACATAATCGCGCAATATATTCTCAAATTAATATATTCGTAGATTGCTGTGGCATTTTAAAGAAGTAATGCTTTCATCTTGTAAGTCGACGCAACGGCAAGTTACCATGAACACAATTAAATTAAAATAGAGAGACATTTTAAATTCTCGTTGTTGTCATGGATTAAATACTGGGCGACAGAAAAGGCCATTCATTATACACTAAAAATGTCGGTTCTTTTTACGAACGCGTAATTGCGGCCAACTTCCGATTTTGATTCAATAAAATTCGGTTGTGTATGGTTTTTTTTGCTTCTTCACACAGAGTGCGGTTGCAATAAACGCACATTGAGTCCGCAAAGGTTTTCGCGGCTGAGAAAATAGTCCGCGACCAAAAAAAGGTTGGGAAACGCTGCTTTAAACCAATGATTCTCAACCGCGGCACTTAGAGCCGTATGTGACAGAATGAAATATTTCCTTGTCAATCAATAATTACCCAACGTTGTCTCCAGCAAACCTCGTTCCTTCCTGATAATGGACATTGATAGCTGGAAGTTGAACATGAATAACTGGAGGTTGACGCTCACGTTCACCCATTTAACGAATTTTATTATTCACTACAAATTATCTCTGAAAAAATTGGATTTGTGTTTTATAAAGCTTTCCATAGTCGTGGCCACGCTAATAAGTTCCAAGCGAATACATATCATATGACCCAGGGTGTAAATAATCGTAAAGATTTTAGGCACATACCGATGATTGGTTGATTAAAGCCTTTTTATTCACAGTGAATATTGAAATAACCAGAAAAAAATCTAAATCATTAGAATATTAAAAAATGATATCGACTCCATATCGTGCAGCAACGACTGCGCGAAACAAGATATAAGGAGAAGGTTCGGCCAAGCTATGCGCCCGTGGTCACATATTTCTTCAGTGTTCCACCCGTGCTAATTTCATGGGTGAATTATTAAATTGTGAGTTAGCGTTTCAATCTTGAACGTCTAACGTCGGGAAGAGGCTCATTCCAGAGCCTACCACTCAGAAATAAGGAAGACTCGAGTAGAGTTAGGCACCACCCCTGAAACGCTGAAATCTACTGGAACGGCATAGAATGAGGATGGTACATTTGGCTCACTAAGGAAAAAAGGAGGCTCGCGACTACTGAAATGCCCTGATCCATTGGAATACATAATATCATGATGGTTTAACATGTGCACTCAATTAAAAGAAATCTCTGAAGCAAAGTTACGGGAACTCACTCAGAAATAAGGGAGACTCATTTTTCAACAAAGTTACGGGTACTCACTCAGAAGTAAAGAAAACTCATATTTGCGCAAATTGTACTGAGTGATTAATGACCTGTGCGACCGCGACTTATAAATTATAAACGAATAGCATAGCGTACTAGACGACTAGAAAGGTTTATGATGCTCAAACATTCATAAGATTTAAAGACCCAAGCTATGTATCATCAGGAAACGAGTGGCCAATAAATCTGTCACAAAATACTTCTGCTAATCATACGTGACGGGCTCCCCAGGATTTCGTTGTAATGAAAGCATTTAAAAATAGGTGAGGTCGTAAAACGTGTTATGACTAAGGCTGGGAATTTCAGGAAAAACACTTCAACCGTTAACCGGGTAAAATTAACCGGTTAACCGCAGCGTGACGTTCCACATAATAATTTATAATTTTAGCTTGTTGCGTACAATGGTTGCAAAGCAATTTTGGGTGATCTTATTCCGGTATCGCTCAAAATTATGGAAACAGTTTCATGATCGCTCTGCTGCAAGAGATATGCAGCGTGCTTTGGACATATGGAAGTATTTTAGTAAAACCCGAATCCGTTATAAAATGTCATTTATGGGACAAATTTTCAGTGTTTGACGTGCAAATTTTACTCTGAGATATCATGAAGAAAAACAGCATCAACTGCGCACTTATTCGATGACATTGAATATACGATTTTGCAATAAAATCGTGAACAATATATTTCGACCGAAAACTGATTCTGAGTTTATCATTGTCAAATTTTCATAATCAGCGATCTTGGTACTTCAATTATTTTTCACATTCATTGGGTCCTTACCAATACTTTTCGTGATATTCTTTTGAACTAAACGCTACCAGAGATAAATTTGCGATGACGTAATCACTTTTGAAGAAATTGTACATTTTAAAGATGATTTGTAAATTGAGTTAAGAGTTAATATTATGTCACTAGTAGGGCTGGAAATGGTTAACCGGTTAACCGATTTTAGATGATTAACGGTTACGATTTATTTTAACCGTTAACTAACATCTCAGGTACAAATCATCTTCATACCGTACAATACTCAATAATTGTGAAAAATAATGGAAGTACCAAGATTGCTGATTATGGAAATTTGACAATGATGAATTCAGAATCAGTTTTCGAAATGTATTGTTCACGATTTCATTGCAAAATCGGATATTCAATGTCATACAACAAGTGTGCAGTTGATGCCGTTTTTCTTTTTATGATATATATCTCGAAGTAAAATTTGCACATCGAATTTGCACATGTGTAAAATAATGCGAATACAGTACTGTATATGCGCAAAAGCGAGCGACGAATCGTCATTGGAGGAAATTGTAAATTAGATACTTAAGTTGGTACTGAAGTCATGCAACATTTATGGTTTGAGTATATTTATTTTCCGTTGTTTAGATAATATGAATCCTTCGCAAGGTTTTTTGAGGAACTTAAGACATAAAATTAAACAGGCCTTAGATCTGAATCGTATGATTCGAATAAATCTTAAATGAATGATAAAAATTCACTCCGGGTACAATTACATAATCAAATTAAATGAAACATAAAAAATACAAGTATTTGTGACGATTCCAAGGCCGAGCTTATTGACAGCCGTGGATCAGTCGATCGCGAGCTATTCTGAAGATTTCAGTCGATCGCGAGCTTTTAAAAGAAGGTTGGGCACCCCTGCTTTAGATTAATTATCTTATATGTCATCACACTTCTTGGGGACCAGACCCAAAAGGCATTTGTTTGACAAAAAGTTGCACATTAATGGATGCTTGCCTAGAGCCTTTTTCCAGGGAAAATAAGTAAGAGGTGGTCACAAGGAAAATTGTTATAACGGTCAAATTTCGTTTTCGTCGTTTATCTGATTAAAACCTATGTTGGCTAGGCGCAGGTTATCTTGATAAAAGGAATCCAGATCGTCATCAACTAACCACCAATAAGAAGCAAGACTCGGATGTCACGTGACGATGGTGCGATGACTACACCAAGCTCTGTCTTTTAATTAATAGCCTGTGCGACCGCGTCTATAAATTATAAACGAATACCATAGCGTACTCAACTGGAGATTTATGATCAGCAAACAGTTATAAAGACAAAAGCCATATATCACCAGAACAAACAACGAATTGAAAGAAGTCGATGTGGCCAATAATTCCGTCACAAAACACTTCTCACCCAATCGTGTTTGTACAACTTATATTTAACCGTTAATCATACGTAGCGGTCTTATCAGGATTTCGTTGAAATGGAAAAAGTTGAAAATGTGTGACGTCTTGATGACTTCATATTTATTATTTGGCGCAACTGAAGAGTCCCTACAGAGAGCATATTTCTCTAATTTGAAGCAAAGTAACTCTTCACCGATCGCGATCAATCATAACTTAAATTTGATTGCAAATAAAATGCATGGATACCGAAAACTATTTAACAACACATACCCGATTAAAATACCCTTTTAACTCTCTCTTTCCGTGTGATATTTTACCCATCAAATAGCTGTGGAAGCGGAGTAAATTGACGTAAGGGTTAATGATATGTCACGAGGTGTTTTCTTGTCGTTATTAGAGAACAATATCAAATTCCAGACAACCGTTTATTGCCAAATAATCCACGTAAACTCGACGATAATTTAATAGAAATTTATTGATTAGAAGGACTTTAGGTTAACGTAGACTTTTGCGGTCCTTGGCAAAATCATACCCATCGACGAAATATGCTTCGCTGTGCTTATCTTTCATATATTATTACGGAATTATTCAACTTTAAAAAATCAACTACCCGGAAGAGTTTTCAGCTGCAAACTCGATTGGCCACAAAAGCTCCCATTCGTTTTCTATCAGTGTACCTAGCAGAAGGTTAATTGCGTGGAAGCCGCTACCTCATAACTTTTCAAGCCTCGTGTTCACCAGTACCAACACGATATTTTACACCATATATCGTTATAGTCTCAGTGGCATTTTGGGGGGAACTTTGCTCAAAGATTATTCCTTCTTACTTGAGAAAATTTTCACGAAAAAATCAACCCCCGATTTTTCTGGAAACGTTATTTTATTATTTCAACAATAAATATGTGGCAACTTATTCAAAGAGTTGGAAGCGAACCCTTGGTTTCCGTACTATTATTAAGTATATTAAAACATAGTCAACACCGCAACGAGATCACGGCAGTTTTGTCAATTGACTCAAAATAATTATATTTCGAACTCCTCATTTTCCCGCTATTTATAAAACGGTGTTCTAATTTGTCATTCAATCTTTACCGGATTGTTATTACATAATGGACCTATGGATCGTTTTAGTTATTTTCTTGTTATTCTTGTTCTTTGACACGTTATTGAAAAGTCACTTTTCTCTTTGATTACAGGACCAATTGCTTTGAAATTTTCGGTGGTTAAAGATGGAATTTTTCTCTAGAAGGCTATTACTTTTATTTATTTTTGTATTTCGTATGAATTCCATGAGATCTGATATTTATGCCCGAAATTTCGCTTCATTATATTTATTCATGATAACATGGTTTTTAGTCCGCGTGATGACTGGTTGCCTTTTATGTTTTATGTAAATACTAACGTAAATCGGAACTTGGCTGGTACTTTAAGTCTGGTAAAAACGTTTTTGCGCCGCAGTGAATTTCGCGACAACTGAAAAGGTCAGTTGCCTACATTAAATATACTACTACATAACTTTCTAAAACGGTGTTGCTCGTTGAGGACTCATTCAAACGCTCTGCGGACTCATTTGAGACCGCGGACTCGGGTTGGGAAACACTGTATTAGAACCTTAAACTGATTAAATTTTGGAGTAAGCTTGCGATTTTGGAGTCAACAGCTTGCTCTGTTATTTGCAACTATTTTTCGAACGGCATCTTTAACTTCAAACAAATCTCGGTGCTCCCGAAGTTTTCCTACCAAGATGGCGCACTATCTGAACATAGTATGTGTACCAGGTTATGGTTCAGGTTGTGCGTCATCTTGGTACGAATACTTCGGGAACACCAGGATTTGTTTGAAGCACCCACTTCCGGAGCGCCCAAATTTCTATACAAGCGGCCACTGGTATGTAAGGACTTATGTTTAAAAGTACCTGGAATTTTCCCGGTTTCCCACTCACTTTATTCAACCCTAGGTGAGGTGATGAACAACCAGTTTGAAACCGAAATGTACCTGATACCAGTTTTGTCGCCTGCCCTATAGCGATACCAATGAAAAATCGCCGATATATTAAAAGCCGATACTTTATAATTATTGGACACGTTTAGTGGCCATAACGATCGTTTCAAAATTTTGTTGTTATTGTTATTTTCTTTCGTCATTATCATTGGAAAATCGCTTTTCTCTTCGAATACTGGACCAAATGCTTTGAAATTTTCAGTGGTTAAAGATAAAATTTTTCTCCAGAAGGCTATTACTTTTTTTTCTCGCTATGACGTCATCAAAATAATTGCCATTGGGTGGCGCTACGTGTCCATATATTTGAGCATAGCTCTCTTGTTACATTAAGTGGGCAGACGGGTTTAAAACAATAGTCTGTGAGCATTATTCACAGTGCACATTATTTCAGATTGAAAAAGAGATATTTCAGACTGATGTTTGTGATCAAAATGCATTTATTCATTTAGACGCATTTCGCATCGATGCCAACAATCACTCATGAGTTTGGCTATACGATGAGTGATAAAATAAATAAATGATTACTTACTATCGAGATTTTATCATAATCACCATGTAATATTAAAAATGTGAATATAAAAATTTGCTGGAAAAAATAGCCAAATTATTTGAGCTAGTTTGGCTGATAAATGGTTAAAACAGGCCAGAATCCTGTTTCCGTTTCTGCTCGCGGAGATTGGGATGAGCATGGTTCAGAGTTAATGAGACCAATACCGCGAACACAATCCCTCCAAGCAAATAATAATAACATTAGTATATATTCTGAATTATTTTTGAAAACATTGTGGATCAGATTAAAAATCTAAATATATATATAGGAAATATCTGTATTTAGCCGAAGCCGTTACCGAAAAAATGGACGATATGGCCGATACCGATACATCTCCACTCATGATACTTAAACAAGTTCAGTTAACCAACAGGTTATCGCCCGCTGGAATCAGAGTTTCATTACTTCGGTGTTAAATAGCGGGCAGCAAGTCTTTTCGTACAAGATATCGGCATTTATATTATATACTTTGGATACACGATCAATATCAACAATAAATCCAAACGTATGTCTCAACGGCTCAAAAAATCATACATTTCCAAAAATCACAAATGGCAAATTCATACTGTCAAACGATTGCATGAGTGATGAGGATGTACGTCGTTCGGTGTCTAAAGAAAAGTTGAATCGGTTGGTGAAAATCAGTCGTCAATATATATTGTGAGCCAAGCTTTTGTGGCTCACAATAAATATTTAAAACCTATACGTGCTATATAGCAACTTTGACTCCATAATCACTAACGCACAGTAGGTCCGAATGCAAAATAAAAAATAAATAAAAAATGTTGATTGTATTCACATGTCTAAATATCTGCACTAGTATATACAAACGGCCTATTGACCCTTTTATTTCAAGAGAAGAAGCTTGTTTAGCCTGGAGCCGTAAGCCATCGGAAATCAGTTCCTTATGTAAAAGAATATATTGCCGTACGTTAATCGTGAACCAAATAAACATCAAAGCGTCGACATACTTTGTGTAAACAGCATTGGTGAGTTCTCTACTTTCCCTTCTTCTGATTCTCTGAAAACATTTGTTGGAATCGAATCATGTTGTAGTGTTTCTGGCTGAGTAGCTGCTGAGTTACCTGAAAATGAGTTGAATTTATTTCAACAACCTCCTATTGCTATTGATGAGGAAGCATATTTGAGCTGAAATATACCTGGTGTTGGAACGACGACCTGCGAATCTTTGCAGCCTGAACAACCGTCTTGTGCCTGGAAATAAAATGAAAAATTGTTTTCATATATTCAATGATAGGTAATTAGACACACTTTATATACACTTTTTTTTTTCAAGTAAAATTCATGAAAATATTCAAATCAATACGTTACGTATACTCCAGGTTTAGGAATGAGATAAGGCATAAACAGCTTAATAACTGCCAGTATTTCAAAACTTATGCGCTACCACTGAAATGAACGAGTTGTTTGAAGTAAAATGAATGTTTCACTTTAAATTAGTGATTCTCAACCGCGGCATTCAGAGCCGTATGTGGCAGAATGAAATATTTTCTCTAATAAACAATGTCAATCAATATTTACCCAACTTTATCTCCAGCAAACCTCGTTCCTTCCTGATAATGGACATTGATAGCTGGAAGTTGAACATGAATAACTGGAGGTTGACGCTCACGTTCAGCCATTTAACGAATTTTATTATTCACTACAAATTATCTCTGAAAAAATTGGATTTGTGTTTTATAAAGCTTTCCATAGTCGTGGCCACGCTAATAAGTTCCAAGCGAATACATATCATATGACCCAGGGTGTAAATAATCGTAAAGATTTTAGGCACATACCGATGATTGGTTGATTAAAGCCTTATTATTCACGGTGAATATTGAAATAACCAGAAAAAAATCTAAATCATTAGAATATTAAAAAATGATATCGACTTCATATCGTGCAGCAACGACTGCGCGAAACAAGATATAAGGAGAAGGTTCGGCCAAGCTATGCGCCCGTGGTCACATATTTCTTCAGTGTTACACCTTGCTAATTTCATAGGTGAAATATTAAATTGAACCATTATAAACAATAATCATGTGTGAGTTAGTTAGCGTTTCAATCTTGAACGTCTAACGTCGGGAAGAGGCTCATTCCAGAGCCTACCACTCAGAAATAAGGAAGACTCGAGTAGAGTTAGGCACCACCCCTGAAACGCTGAAATCTACTGGAACGGCATAGAATGAGGATGGTACATTTGGCTCACTAAGGAAAAAAGGAGGCTCGCGACTACTGAAATGCCCTGATCCATTGGAATACATAATATCATGATGGTTTAACATGTGCACTCAATTAAAAGAAATCTCTGAAGCAAAGTTACGGGAACTCACTCAGAAATAAGGGAGACTCATTTTTCAACAAAGTTACGGGTACTCACTCAGAAGTAAAGAAAACTCATATTTGCGCAAATTGTACTGAGTGATTAATGACCTGTGCGACCGCGACTTATAAATTATAAACGAATAGCATAGCGTACTAGACGACTAGAAAGGTTTATGATGCTCAAACATTCATAAGATTTAAAGACCCAAGCTATGTATCATCAGGAAACGAGTGGCCAATAAATCTGTCACAAAATACTTCTGCTAATCATACGTGACGGGCTCCCCAGGATTTCGTTGTAATGAAAGCATTTAAAAATAGGTGAGGTCGTAAAACGTGTTATGACTAAGGCTGGGAATTTCAGGAAAAACACTTCAACCGTTAACCGGTAAAATTAACGGTTAACCGCAGCGTGACGTTCACATAATAATTTATAATTTTAGCTTGTTGCGTACAATGGTTGCAAAGCAATTTTGGTGATCTTATTCCGGTATCGCTCAAAATTATGGAAACAGTTTCATGATCGCTCTGCTGCAAGAGATATGCAGCGTGCTTTGGACATATGGAAGTATTTTAGTAAAACCCGAATCCGTTATAAAATGTCATTTATGGGCAAATTTTCAGTGTTTGACGTGCAAATTTTACTCTGAGATATCATGAAGAAAAACAGCATCAACTGCGCACTTATTCGATGACATTGAATATACGATTTTGCAATAAAATCGTGAACAATATATTTCGACCGAAAACTGATTCTGAGTTTATCATTGTCAAATTTTCATAATCAGCGATCTTGGTACTTCAATTATTTTTCACATTCATTGGGTCCTTACCAATACTTTTCGTGATATTCTTTTGAACTAAACGCTACCAGAGATAAATTTGCGATGACGTAATCACTTTTGAAGAAATTGTACATTTAAAGATGATTTGTAAATTGAGTTAAGAGTTAATATTATGTCACTAGTAGGGCTGGAAATGGTTAACCGGTTAACCGATTTTAGATGATTAACGGTTACGATTTATTTTAACCGTTAACTAACATCTCAGGTACAAATCATCTTCATACCGTACAATACTCAATAATTGTGAAAAATAATGGAAGTACCAAGATTGCTGATTATGGAAATTTGACAATGATGAATTCAGAATCAGTTTTCGAAATGTATTGTTCACGATTTCATTGCAAAATCGGATATTCAATGTCATACAACAAGTGTGCAGTTGATGCCGTTTTTCTTTTTATGATATATATCTCGAAGTAAAATTTGCACATCGAATTTGCACATGTGTAAAATAATGCGAATACAGTACTGTATATGCGCAAAAGCGAGCGACGAATCGTCATTGGAGGAAATTGTAAATTAGATACTTAAGTTGGTACTGAAGTCATGCAACATTTATGGTTTGAGTATATTTATTTTCCGTTGTTTAGATAATATGAATCCTTCGCAAGGTTTTTTGAGGAACTTAAGACATAAAATTAAACAGGCCTTAGATCTGAATCGTATGATTCGAATAAATCTTAAATGAATGATAAAAATTCACTCCGGGTACAATTACATAATCAAATTAAATGAAACATAAAAAATACAAGTATTTGTGACGATTCCAAGGCCGAGCTTATTGACAGCCGTGGATCAGTCGATCGCGAGCTATTCTGAAGATTTCAGTCGATCGCGAGCTTTTAAAAGAAGGTTGGGCACCCCTGCTTTAGATTAATTATCTTATATGTCATCACACTTCTTGGGGACCAGACCCAAAAGGCATTTGTTTGACAAAAAGTTGCACATTAATGGATGCTTGCCTAGAGCCTTTTTCCAGGGAAAATAAGTAAGAGGTGGTCACAAGGAAAATTGTTATAACGGTCAAATTTCGTTTTCGTCGTTTATCTGATTAAAACCTATGTTGGCTAGGCGCAGGTTATCTTGATAAAAGGAATCCAGATCGTCATCAACTAACCACCAATAAGAAGCAAGACTCGGATGTCACGTGACGATGGTGCGATGACTACACCAAGCTCTGTCTTTTAATTAATAGCCTGTGCGACCGCGTCTATAAATTATAAACGAATACCATAGCGTACTCAACTGGAGATTTTTATGATCAGCAAACAGTTATAAAGACAAAAGCCATATATCACCAGAACAAACAACGAATTGAAAGAAGTCGATGTGGCCAATAATTCCGTCACAAAACACTTCTCACCCAATCGTGTTTGTACAACTTATATTTAACCGTTAATCATACGTAGCGGTCTTATCAGGATTTCGTTGAAATGGAAAAAGTTGAAAATGTGTGACGTCTTGATGACTTCATATTTATTATTTGGCGCAACTGAAGAGTCCCTACAGAGAGCATATTTCTCTAATTTGAAGCAAAGTAACTCTTCACCGATCGCGATCAATCATAACTTAAATTTGATTGCAAATAAAATGCATGGATACCGAAAACTATTTAACAACACATACCCGATTAAAATACCCTTTTAACTCTCTCTTTCCGTGTGATATTTTACCCATCAAATAGCTGTGGAAGCGGAGTAAATTGACGTAAGGGTTAATGATATGTCACGAGGTGTTTTCTTGTCGTTATTAGAGAACAATATCAAATTCCAGACAACCGTTTATTGCCAAATAATCCACGTAAACTCGACGATAATTTAATAGAAATTTATGATTAGAAGGACTTTAGGTTAACGTAGACTTTTGCGGTCCTTGGCAAAATCATACCCATCGACGAAATATGCTTCGCTGTGCTTATCTTTCATATATTATTACGGAATTATTCAACTTTAAAAAATCAACTACCCGGAAGAGTTTTCAGCTGCAAACTCGATTGGCCACAAAAGCTCCCATTCGTTTTCTATCAGTGTACCTAGCAGAAGGTTATTGCGTGGAAGCCGCTACCTCATAACTTTTCAAGCCTCGTGTTCACCAGTACCAACACGATATTTTACACCATATATCGTTATAGTCCTCAGTGGCATTTTGGGGGGAACTTTGCTCAAAGATTTATTCCTTCTTACTTGAGAAAATTTTTCACGAAAAATCAACCCCGATTTTTCTGGAAACGTTATTTTTATTATTTCAACAATAAATATGTGGCAACTTATTCCAAAGAGTTGAAGCGAACCCTTGGTTTTCCGTACTATTATTAAGTATATTAAAACATAGTCAACACCGCAACGAGATCACGGGCAGTTTTGTCAATTGACTCAAAATAATTATATTTCGAACTCCTCATTTTCCCGCTATTTATAAAACGGTGTTCTAATTTGTCATTCAATCTTTACCGGATTGTTATTACATAATGGACCTATGGATCGTTTTAGTTATTTTCTTGTTATTCTTGTTCTTTGACACGTTATTGAAAAGTCACTTTTCTCTTTGATTACAGGACCAATTGCTTTGAAATTTTCGGTGGTTAAAGATGGAATTTTTCTCTAGAAGGCTATTACTTTTATTTATTTTTGTATTTCGTATGAATTCCATGAGATCTGATATTTATGCCGAAATTCGGTTGTCCTTTTTGATTCTGCAAAATTCGTGCTACACGATATTCGGAATTTTTTTGAAGGTACTGGTACCTTTGCAGTAATTCAAGTTTTGTAGTCTACCATATTTCGTTTTGTCTTACGTGTCCATATATTTGAGCATAGCCCTCTCGTGATAGACGCAAATAACATACTCGCTACACGATTTAAATACGTAGTTCGTAATGTGTGTATAAGTGAGCGTGACAACTATACTGGATATTTATCAATGATCTCCAATGAAATCTTATCGTGTAAGGTTCCTATTAATTGATTGTATTATTCATTTGGACCCTTATCATAATAGCTTGGTCGTTGAACTCATATACCCCTAAGCTGGTATCATAGCTTGAGGTCTACCGCATTATAGCAATATATCCAAATGCTAGTAATATAGCATTGGGTCTCCCACGTTATAGCGTAATGTCTACTGAAGGCAGTAGTATAGCACGAGTCCTGTCACAATTTAGTGACACAGCGCGATGAATGTTCCCCAACCCTCGACCTCAATAAAATGATTTCTATAATTTACTATTGCAAACAAGGTAGCCAATTTTAACCTAGTCTATCGAAGTTTTCTGGGACTAGTTTTTGATTATTGCAACTAAACTATAGCTCATCGAAAGACATTATGACAATTATAATATTTCCTTTACTACGAATGGTTGGAAAAATGACAGATAACGCACAATACAGCGAAAACGAGGCAATGTTATTTCCCACAAAACTACATTCTCGCAAAAGTCCACTCGCACTGAACCATCAATTTCTCATTACATTTAGGTGATAATGTGGATTTCGCAGTTTAAACTAATTTTTCCTAACAAGAACTTAGACAAGTCTGCCACTTAGGCGTTACTATATTTTGAATTATCGAAACCATAGCCATATCGCCTATGTTCACTTTTCTTCGGAACGCAGTGGGCTTACAACTTGACTTCCCAATCTCTAATTAACAGCCTCAACTCTGGATCTATAACAATGACTTTGCCATCAAGACTCCGGGCTGCAATAAAATGACTTTGTTTCACTCGTTGCCAGTGAATGTCACAATCACACATAAGCAAAGGTAAACAGCCAAATGCTTGAAACTGTAAGGGTTAAACATACAAGGCGTCATCGTTTAGATTTTAGAATGTTTATTTAATAAGCAAACTTCTGAATTCGCAAACAACATATGATTTATGACTTTACTTTACAATAAAAAAAAAACAGTGGAACGGAACGCCGGCTTTATACTTGGGACCTTACCAAACGTACAAACGTATTGCCTCCTAAGCGAAACAGCGCTCAAACATGTTATTATTTGAGTAAAACTACGAGTTAAAATTTTAAATGAATTCATTAAAACATTATACGATTAAAGCTTTTCGCGTCACTATCCGAAGGTCATTACTGCCGTATCCCAGGGCACAGATAAGCCACTGTTTCTCTGTTATTACATCTATGAGACATCCAAATAATCTTTTGTATGTTTTAGGTAGAAAGAGTATGGGAGTCACTTGGCTAGTCCACGAACTCGTGATAGAACTAAAAATTGGAATAATTCGCTATTTTCATATTACTCGATCTTTTTATTAAATGTTCTGTGGGCCTGGCTTTCCTTTGACGCTGAGAATGGGACACAAAAGAATAAAGGTGAGAACGACAGCTTTAAAGTTTTTATACTTCGTCATATTTGACAATCGATAACGATATTTCTCAAATCATATATATCTCTCTCATCGACAGCGGGCAAATCGTCTGTGAAGACGAATACACTCATGCTATATTTATTTTGACTAAGTTTTTGTCATTCTTATGATGTCATACCGGGAAAGATCCCTATCTGACGAAAACAGCGGTCGACTTCAAAGGCTGTCTTTTTAAGTTGATGACTCTACTTCCCAGGGACAAAAAAAAAGTGGATCATGAGTGTCAATAATAAACAAATTAAATCAGTTTTAACTGGATTTTTTGCTGCTATTGTGAATTTTCTGATATGGACCTAAACGGTCCCGAGTAATAAACGAATTGAATTTTAAACTGTTTTTTCTAATGAATTGCTTTTTCGCGTAGACGATCAGAAGGATAGGATTTACATATTTATCCCGGGGGAGAGGAAAGGGGACGCAACCATCGGCACGAAAGAGAGATTTATTTCCACAAACAATGAAAAAACAATATTAAATAATATCGATAATTTTATATAGAGTTAGACTATAATAAAAAATAATGAAATACAGTATAAAACACTATTGATAATTTCTATAGAAGTAACCCAATTTACAGATTGTTTCGTGTTGGCCAGTATGCAGGACCATTGAAGGTCATCGAGGCTTGCTACCGCACCTCTGATTACTATACGTGCGTTCACAGGTGCGAATCCCATGCGGGGATAGTTATGTGCTTAAGGATCGCTGGACTCTTCGCCATATGGTTAAGCCGTATTATCGACTTTTCTCTCCCCCGGGATAAATATGTAAATCCTATATGGCGTACCACGGCCTTTCGTTCGGTTACCATTTCATGTCGGGTACGATATGGATTGGTTAGTTATTTGTTTTCGGAAGCATGGACTTGATGGTGGAGAAAGCCGTAAACGACCAGCGGTTATGTGAACCACCCTACGGCGGCGAGGAGTCCAGCAATTCTCTCGCACATAACCATCCCCGCATGGGATTCGAACCTGCGAATCCACGCACACGCAGATAACCAGAGGTGCGGTGATGACCGTATTCCTGATGCTTAGCACGATGAGCCAGACCGCCGCACGAACAACAGCCGTATAGGGAAGTGCACTGGAGCGCATCGGTAGCTGTCAATCATTCACACAAAAATTGCTGTAGCGATTTAGGTATACGTGTGCACAACTTTGATGTGAGATTCGTGTGAAGTGTAGAATCGGACAGGTAGATAGATAGTTTATTTTGAAAACTCCGCAATCTGACAATATAAACAAACTAAAAATGGAGAATTCTGGAAAGCAAGCAAAACCTTTAAAAAAGTTTAAAAGTATCACGTGCCCGCTCACCAACACGCATTCACAAAAAAAACACAAATCTTGTTAAACAAGGCTTGGCCCAGAAATAAACACTCAAAAAATACGCAAATGTACCGTAATAAACTTTCGGGCTGTTGTTTACTTTTAAAATACCTACTCAGGCTAATAAGGACCAATTCGATCTTATACAAAGACAACGTGTGGAGGTGTAATATAATGCTGTAATGTGATAAGGTGACGAGAAGGATCACCTATTTATCCCAGGGAGATAGAGCCGATAAGGCGGGTGACTCATACGGCGAACCACGGCGGTTACCGGTACGGTACTAGTAAATAGTCCATGTCGGATACCGATATGGGATTAGTTAGCCAGATATTTGTTGATGGGGGCCAAAGAGAGTACGGTAGCGTTAGTAGGGGCAGCTGCACCGTGCAGCAGATAAGTTCGGTCGATAGAGTTCGATCTTACACATGCTGACATGTGAGTTTATAGCTCAGTTTGATGAGTTAATTAGTGATATAAACGTTTCACTCTTACTTGAACTTTCATTTATTCATTCTCATGTCTGCATGTAGACTACCAACAACATCTAAAATATTTTTGAAGTTGGGTACGGTACGGTACCTAGCGGCATGAGGGGCATCATTATTCGAAACTCGCTCTGGGCAGCAGAAGAGTTTGGCACGCCCCTGGTTGGACTCTTCATGTTATAGGCAATATCTACCTATTTTTTATTCGGCATAATCCATACCTCTTTTCTATCCCATACTCTTGCAAGCTTAGCATAATATGTCATAAAAATGGAAGATAAGCCGTCATTTCTTCGTCCAGTCGGGATCTCATATATTGCGGAAGATCTTGCCGATGACAGAAAAGCTTACGTTTCTACTAATGCTGTACATAGTCTACAATCAGCCTTCCACATTGCGGAAAATATTTTCAAAAAGGAAGTCCCGACCCCAAATGAAAATATCATGAATACTTCTATGAACTCGGAATTAATTGGAGAGGAAAAAGAGACGGATACACACGATGGCAGTAGAGGTAGGCATCCTAAAGTAGGCCTACTTTTCCAATTATGTCATCTTAATTCTTTCTACAGCATCACCTTTGGATAATATGCAACCTTCACAAAATAGTAAAAAAGCGATTGGTCTCTCATCAACGATTTATTTATCCAACTCATTCATATAACTTACATAGACGAAATTAAATTTGGTTGGGATAGGATTCAGGATAAGAGCAAAACCGTTAAGTCGGCTCAATCATATGGCATACCACAGCCTCTCTCGTCTGCCTACCAGTTCATGTCAGGTATGGGAGTAGTATAAAAATATACGATGTCATAAAAGTGTGTTTGTTCCTACTTTGCGAAGTACTTCTAATCAATAGCCACGGAAACCCTAACTCTAACGAATTTTTAGACCTCATTTGCTTAGTGCAATTAAATTATTTTTCATTCATTAATTTTATAATGAAACACTTTTTATGACATCGTATTTTTGAGCAGCAGGATTTCGCTAGCGTGACAGAGGTGAAAAACCTGTATGTTTAACGCTTAGCATGATGTGCCACATAGCCGTGGTTGCCTTATTATAATACTCAATCATGGCATACCACCCTGTTAATGCCACCTTTTAACTTTTTTAACCAAAGAAAAAACAGATTATAAATTTGTGATGGGCAATAATATATCACCTACTTAAAGAATTCTTTATATTGAATGGATGTATCTGGATATTTAGTTCATATGTGACACCCCTGTAGGGTTGTCATAAGTTCTCGAAGTCGTTTACTCATTGAAATTCTGACTTGCCAATTTTGTAACTGTCCAAAGAAGCAATAAGGGCAATATTAAAATTTGACAATGGTAGCGTTGAAATATGGCAACAATGTTCATAAGTTTGTCAATATTTTATCAAAACAATTTAACAAATCGTTCTGTTTATGTCCAGACGGCAGCAAAGAGGATATCACTTCACCCAATCAGGAGCCAAATACACAAGATGGCACTAAAGAGATTAATTCAGAACGAACTGTGGATGTAGACACACTCGAACTTCTATCCTCAGTAGAAAAAGGGAGACATTCAATTTCTCCAGACAAAGTTGAGAAAACTGAAGCCAGTCAGTCAATCACACACGATAGCAGTAAAGAGAATGCTAATTCAGAGAGCACACTAGACATTATAAATCTAGAGACGGAAGAAAATGAGATTCAGCAACGGCATCTACCTGGAAATGAAGCGTCTGAGGACTGTAACGCTGACATAAATGAAGAATTAAATACTCATGATGGCAGTAGAGAGAGCACTGATTTAGAAAATAAAAATACGCTTGATATGTTGGATTCCGCAACTCGGGAGAATTACTCACATGTAAGCGAAACTAATTCCTTTTCAAATCATAATGGTCAAGTCGATTCTACTAAAAATCAAACATTTTATTCGCACGATCGTGAAAGAAGAGAGAACTCTGAATCAGAGTGTGAGATGGACACGCAAGATTTAATCTCAAATTTTGCAGAAGAAAAATATTTGCAGCAGACTTCTTTGGCACAGGATTATGAAAATGACCAGTGTTCTGATGTAACTTCGATTTCAAATAACGAAGACACGGACCCATTTGCGTTTTTAGCAAGATTTGAATTGAGAAGTGGCTCTGATATCCCAATAGAACAATGCGATTTTGGTAATATAAATCTACAATTACAAGCAGAGACGCTACCTCTCTTGCCAAGATGGCTGTCAAATAAAAATATAAAAGGGCCGACACTCATTGATACCATAGAATACGTTCAAACTGTGCTTCCGGAAGTTCATTTCGAGCTCTGTGATGTAATTCCCAGAAAAAAGAACAAAGAAATGAAAATTTATTTGGGAGGAGCAAATAAAAAACAAACGAAGTTGTTCAGTGGTAGGAGAAATGGAAAAAGATGAAATTCTAATCAGGTATCACTGAAGCGTGGCTGGGCGGAATCTTATTGCTATAAAATACGAATGCAACTGCTGCTTTTCGCTTCTTTGTTTCCTGGGTCACCATCTTGCATTCAGTACTATTCAGTTATTGTCTCATTCGCTGTTTTAGGTTTATGTTAGGTGTGTGCAATATTTATTGTTGGTGGGCCATATAACCCAATTCTGAAATCTAGCTGTGCCACACAAAAAATTCAGCGAGAAAGGCAAGAGAAGAAAATGCGGCTATTGCTTAGCTTGCACTAATAAAGGCACCAGGTAAAACGGCGTAAGATTTACCACAGCAACAAGAACAAGAAACATTATGTATGTTTACCCATGTGAGCGCCTGAGCATCTTTTCAAACATAAACCTGTCATATTAAGATTTTACGCTTTATAATGGGCTCATTCACACTGTTTAAATATGACTAACAGCATCAGCACTGCTGTCTAGTCATTGTTGAGTGTATTTTTACTCAGTATTTTACTCTATTCTTGCTTGGTATATTTCTGATCATCTTTGATTCTTCCAATTTTTCAAAAAAATTCATGAAGCTTGACTAGTCAGGATATTCTCACCCCAACATAGGTTTGTCAATTCTGTCAGGTAAACACATCAGTGATCATGAATTTTTAAAACCTTTTCTTTCTCAAATGTCTTTCAAGAATTTTCTTATCCTAACATGGGTTCATCAATTATTGAACTCTGGGTGAGGTGGTGGGTTTTGAAATTTGAACCCAAGATCCCAACATAGTTAACCACACCCAACATTTTTCAATTTATTCCTTCCTCACTATACACAAAAACGCTGTTCATACTGGATGATGTGGGCATGTAGGAACCGAAGATTTTAGCCGGCAATGCTAGCAAAGTTAAGTCCAATACTTTAACCCCTAGGGCAGTCGTTCCCAACCTCTTTCGATAATGTCGTCCATTTTGGATCTCTTTATTTCTCTCTTACAATACATGAAAATCGTATCCATGATTTCTAGATATTTAAACGATCATAAGCTAGTGTTGTGAACAACTCGCGCTCCGGCATTTGCACAATTAAAGTGGTTAATGCAGAAACGTTGATAGGAATTTTCAAACAGGGGATTCTGAAATTTCTAATTCCAGGCACTTGGTTTATGATATGTGCATAAATATGTATCACAATAAAACTGAATAACTAAACAATATTATTAAATCTACACTGAATAGTGAATACAAAGTAATATTTCGGGGCTCCCGAAGTATGCGAACCAAGATGGCGGACATCGGAATGTAATATGTGTACTAGGTTAGGGTTAGGCCATAATTTTAGGTATAAATACTACGGGAGGCTCTTGGCTAGTCTTCGAACTGATAATAGGGCTAAAATAAGGAAAATTGGAAAAAAAATTATCGCCTAACCCTAACCTTGTTACCCATGTTACGTTCCGATGTCCGCCATCTTGGTTCGCATACTTCGGGAGCCCCAATATTTCTGTATTTCCCAAAACACTGTTTTATTACATTTACTTATTGTTAAAAAATTATTTTTTTTACAGAATCTAAAATAGTCATAAATAAAAATAATAATCATGTCTTCTGAAGGAGTTTTATCTGTTTTGGCAAAGTTTCACAGAGATTATGAAGTTTCAACTCCTCAAAAATTGAAGGTCTGTAGTTCTAATTTTTTTATATTAATTCTGAGACGAAGGTCAATAAGACGACCTAATCATAAGGGCGCCCACAGACCCTCGTCTGGTTACCAGTCATGTTTGATATGGGATTAGTTGGCCAGTTATTTGTTTTCAGATGGTCACATGAACTACCATAAAATAGGGAGGAGTCCAGCAATGCCATTGTACATAATTATCCCTGTTTGCCTAGAGTCTCAGTTCCTCGTAAATTAAAGGAAGACAGCCCTAATTTTTTTCTTATTTATCATGGAAAGTCGGAATGTTTTATCATGTGTTTAACTGTGACTTCGCACCATTTTTCCATTGAAAAGAAATAATTTTTTTAATAAAGTCGGCTGATCTCGGTTCCAGGTAGTTTTTTCTCTCTTCCTGGATGTAAAAATCTTTCTAATCCGAGCTACAGGGTTCAGACAGTGGTCCACGTCACCACTTGTCAATTAGAGCTTCATCCACCAATAGAGTCCATGCATCTGGCACAACTAACCGGCTAACCATTCCCATACCATGCACAGTCTTGATTGAAGGCAAATTCCGTTCCATGTTTTTATTATGTCTCCGACTCTCGTCCAATAACCACCCGCTTGGGGTCGCTACTCGTGTCCTTTACTCCCTCCCAAATTCACATATTTTATCAAAAAATTGACTTTCAACTTTTTCTTCATTTTCAGCTCATTGACTGTTATCTCGTTTACATTCTCGTTACTGGAGTGTTACAGTTTGTCTACTGCGCCCTAGTGGGAACATTTCCTTTCAATTCATTCCTGTCCGGATTCATATCATGTGTCGCTTCTTTTGTATTGGCAGGTAGGTTTGTTTGCTTTCTTGTGATGCTGATCCACATCTTTGCCTTGAACAAAGCTGTCTCTTTCACTTCTGAGTGGGTGTAAGTGACTTGATTTGAGAGAACTCTATCACAAGAATCCAATTTAGGGAAATTCGCCATTTTGGCGTAGGTAATTTGAATATACAGCAGCGATCAGCAGCAATGACAAAACTCTACAATCCTGGCTTGCAGAATTTACGGTACTCCCGAAGTATGCGCACCAAGATGTCGCACAACTTGAACCCTAACCTGGTACACAACCTGAGTTCAGGTTGTGCGCCATCTTGGTGCGCATACTTCGGGAGGTCCGAATTTATTCTATTACACTGAGCTATAGACAACGACTGGATTTTAAAATATGTCTTATGGCGCTCGTTCACCCTTTACCTATTTTCTCTCATAGAATGAATATCAAATTTTTTTCAGTAAATCTCCGACTCCAGGTGAACCCACAGAACCGTAAAGAATTCCGTAACATCGCACCTCAGCGAGCATTTGCAGATTTCATATTCGCTCATGTTGTTCTTCATCTTGTTGTCGTCAACTTTATTGGCTGAAGATTGAAGGTCAAATCAAGGTTAGTCAGAATGAAAAATGAATCAAATTTGCTATAATGTATCATTTATAATTCCGGAGTCTGTAAAATGCAAACTCAGAGTGAAAACGATTCTGACTTATGGTTGACTGTTCTGCCCCCTAACTGAAAAGAATTTTATATTTTGACTTCAACTTTGGGAATCAAATTTCATTACCAAAAACTTGCTGCAAGCCTTCATTATTTGTCTGTTGAGAATGATTTTTCAACTCAATTCTTCGATTTTCCATCAAGAATTTCAACAATTTTGAATCCAATTTGGTTCCGACTTCAGATTTGAGTTGTTCGAAAATCAATTCTCCAGTTTAAATATAAACAAGCAAAACTCCTATTCTGGACTTTTAAATTAACGTTTTTGCTGAAATCGGAAACGTATAAAAATTTAACTCTGGTTCCAGAAAAAACATATCAAACTTAGACTCTCATATTCTACTTTGTTTCAGATCCCAAGAAATATCACAAAGATATTGAACTTCTCGTGCCGAAGCACTTTCAACACTTTTACATATATTTTAGTAATTGCTTTGAAAGTAAATATTATTGAATAAAACCTGTGCTTGAGTGATCAAAATGGGGTCTGGGATGGCTATATCCAGAAGCCGGGGAGGGTTCTCGTTGGGTAAAATTGGGGTGGAATTTCACACGTATTTGTAAAGTTTGCAGATCAGATTCTTTGCTAAATGAATATTTCTTTACATGAATAGAACACAGATTGAGACGTCATTTGTTGAGTTGTGATAAATGTTATTTGAGGCACCCGCACTGCAGTAAAGGTGACTCATCTCTGAGCAAAGTTACAGGCACTCACTCAGAAGTAAAAGAGACTCATCTCTGAGTGAAGTTACGAGTGAGCACTCGCTCAGAAGTAAAGAAGACTTGTCCTTGGATAAAATTGCGTGTACTCACTCTGAAGTAATGGAAAGTCCTCTATGAGTAAAGTTACAAGCTCTGACTCAGGAGTTAAGGAGACTCATCTTTGAGCTAAGTTACATGTTGGGGTCACCATTTTAGCAAATGAAAAACACGTTGAACGTTGGAGATGAGTTTAATGTTTTAAATATACACGAACAAACGATTAAGACATGACGAAACGACACCGATCCAGACGACTCGATTCCAAATACAAGATCTTTTCAATACCTCCCTTTTAAATATCCAATTGAAACCATATTTATTCGTATGTGCGTATGGTGATATCGATTCCATTAGGGGTTATCGATTCGGGTTTGGAATACTAATTACCATGTCCATATGTCATCGATCCAATTATATTTTTGGTTGTCATCTGTTTGTCTAATTACAACGGGCCCTATATCGATCCAATTCATGAATTTGGAGAAATTCGAAATTAGCAATTTCCAGTCTTTTTAATGTATTTTACCTGAAAAAACGAATTTATCCCTAAATATGCACTCAAAAGTAAAGGGGACTCATCGGTACTCCTGAAGTATGCGCACCAAGATGTCGCATAACCTGAATCCTAACCTGGTACACAACCTGAGTTCAGGAGGTCCGACTCATCTCCTCTGGCTCATCGAGGAAAAACTACACTGTATAGGCATCGCTTACAGCGCTGGTTTATTCCAGTCATTATGCACAGTCAAAGATACAATCATGTCTATCCTAATCAATCCTTATATCTGGCTACAAAAGAGATGGAAACCTTGTATTCAGATTAATGAAAAACGATGAATCTGTTCCCTTTCATGCTGATTATGGAGTCAAAATAACCTTAATAATTAATGAATCTGTCATCCAAAGACTTCTAATTTTGTTTCAACTTTATTTCAATTCAATAATAGTCTTACACAATGAAAGATAAAAATAATAAAATGACATAATGATGAACTTTACAGAAAAAATAAAAATGGAAAATGCCGATGAATTCTGGGTAAAACCAAACTAGTGATCAAAATATGATTCTCCAATGTGAAAATAACTTATGAGACTGGTAAAATGTAAATTGCCAGTTACCTGAATTTTAGAGACATTGTCAATTAGTATTGTGAAAGCTTTAGTCATTGGCCCGACTCAAGTCCCTATTCATCAAAAATGAGTCGTTTCAGCGGAATGACTTGGACATGTCTTGAACCCGGTGGAACTTCTGTCAAAACACTGTTGCCACATAGGTTGGGAAACGAGATAAACTATATTGTTTTACAGAATCAAAATAGTATATAAAAATTCAGGCACAGAAAGATAGGAACACACAATTTTATCAAAACAAAAAAGTTAAATGCTTCCTAAAGCGAGATATAATTCATCATCTGGTTGAAAAAGGGAATTCGAACCATGCTCCCCTCTTGGCCGCAAATCGTACTACTCCACTCAACATAATCGGTAATCAATATCAAAGTTGAACATACTAACATAACAACATTTTCCTAATATCGCTATGTTACTGCTTTTCATAAACGACAAATAAACACCTTAAAATATTGATATTCATATAATCATTAAAATATATTTATGACCATTTTATTTTTCTCGGCCAACCTTTATGTGTGATTTTGATGTGAATCATGAATCCGATAGTTTGATCATTTAACAGAGTAATAATAAAATACAGAATAGTGCAATAATACTACAAATGAATGATTGAAATTAAACAATTTTAAGGAACAAAAAGTAAAAGGCACTTGAAAGAATAAAATGTAATAATTTGACAAAAAAATAAATAAACGGTTCTATGATGAATGGGTTTTGTGGATAATACATGGCTAATTTAATTTGCCTTTCATAATTTACAAAAAATTTTTTGTTTTCAAAATTAGATTTTTTTGGAGTTGGAGTTGAAATTTCTTACAACACGAAGCTGACAAGAAGATATTTAAGGGATATCACAAACTTTTCATGCCCACACTTGAATAGTTAGGGATATGTAACATCGTAATATAAAATATCCAAGACACTTGAACAGATAGGGATATGTAACATCGTAATATAAAATATCCAAGCATCAACCAAAAGGCCGATAATACATTTTAGGGCGGTCCAGAATAATGTGTACCAATACGAAGGTATCTAATTTTGTTCGCCATTTTACATCAAGTTGTGTAAAGGGACTGAAACCTATGGGCAGGTGGTATATTCACTTGGTCAACACAGACAGCCCTGAACTTGTAATAGAACTAAAATAAGAAAAATCGGAATGAAATTATGGCCTGGCCCTAACCTGGTACATACACTATGGGAGTACCTATTTTAGTATGAGGTTCCATCAACTGATAATGCAGTGTGAAATCATATGCGTCTGAAACCATTCTTACAGAACATTTCCTGTTGAAAAATCAGTTAAGCAAATCATTTTCTGTCTAAAAATCATCAAATAGAACATTTTATGTTTCCAAAATCATATAGACAGAATACATCCAAAATCATCCAACCAGATTATTCTGTGTCTAAAATCATTTGAGCAAAACAATTTTAAGGCAGCACATAACTAATTTGAATACTAATGCATAGATATAAGAGTTTAATACATGAATTTATAATAAGAAAGCCACAAAGTGAAGAATTGGTGATAAGATATGTAAAAAGGCAACAGGTGTGGCCAGCTATTCATAGCAGGGCAACAATATTTCTAACAAGTGATGAGATTCGAAAAATTTAAATTGAATGGATTTTAATAAACAGGTTCGGTTTTGTATTGATTCACAAACGACAGATTTCCAACAAAAGGTCACAATAACTATACTACATCTTTGTGACATCATTATCAAGTATGGCATCCTCATGTTTCAATTTCCATTAAATAAGGTATTATGATATCAGAAACAAATGATATTATGACATCATAAGTTTGTGACAATAAGTCATAGTGACATCATAAGCTTCACCGCTTCCTTCGGACCATAGCTTTACGGAATGAATTCATCAGTTTAATGATTTCTAAGACTTGTTCGGTGATGAACATAATTTCTCCGCGACCTTCGATCTGTATCAGGAACTGATTTGCGCTGAGTGCTCCAAAAGACAACATTCTGTTAGACAAAAAAACAAGTTTAGAAAAAGTTGAAATTTTCACATTTACCCTCTCAATAACCAGGTTACAACATCATTCATATAAATTCAAAACTTACCCAGAATAAGTAAAATGATCCAAAATATTCGGGAAACCTCTTTTGTAGACCGATATTCCATCGCTAGCAACCCCGATAGTCAATGAGGACTCCCCAAATGCTGCTTCATTGTTTGAAACAGTGAACAATGCTGAACCAAACCCAGGCCATGTTCGAGCAAGTTGGACATATTCAACCTGTGAATTGAACAATCAAATCAAGTTTATATTCCATCTATAACAAGGAGTGTTTGAAGATTCTTGTAACTTACTAAAAAAAGCTAGTCAGGATTTCCATTATATATCAGTCAGCACATTTCAGTTAGATACGGGAATAGTTATTCCGACAGCTAGATTATCTAAAACATCAAAATTTGGTTGTGGCACTATCAGGTTGGCCAGATTGAATCACTCAATTGGCCCGATTTTATCTACGGGCCATAGATTGCCATGTCAGTTTTAGGTGCATGGCCTTGGAAGGGGATCATATTTAAATTTTCTACATATTTTTTTGAATCGTTAATCACTGCATTACTCAAGGGTGGTTCACCGATCATAATAACCACCCGTTCTTAATTTGTATTAGGCATTCTGTGAACTAATAAATTAAGTTTATTTTAAATGTGTTTGTGCATCTGAGATAGTACATATTTTTGTTCGACTTTATTGTATTTATCACGTTTTGTTAGACTTTCTCAACGATGTCGCCGCTCAATAACCAGCTTTGCTTTCTGCATCCCCCTTCACCCTAAAATGCGATTGTTTTAATATATATTCTTTTAAATTGTGTATGTAGAATTCGTATTTTTCAGCATGGTGAAAAAATAAATTACTGATTACTGACTGATTACTGATAGACTCCTTCAATTCAAATGTGTTTAAATGCCAGAATAATTGAGAATAGCATATCAATTTGCGGCATAAATTGCACTGCGAGGTATCACAGCTTTAGATCTCAAATAGAGAACGATCGAACCAAAACAATATTAATCCATGACTCACCACAGCAGTTTCTCGAGGCATCCCTTTCAGTTTGTACCAGCGATCTGCAATGTTTGCTTTCACATCTTGCAGCTCTTCCTTGAACAATGTTTCATTCATTTCAGCGTCCCGTCCTCCCTCTTCTTTGATTCTTTTCACCGTTCTTTTCTTCAGTGAATTCAGGAGAGTGGATGACTGAAAAACAAGAAATATTGGTGTGTTTCCAAATTTAGCGTAAAGTAGATATTTTGCTATCAGCGATAAAACTAGATGCCGGACAATCAAACATTTCCATTCACCACACAAATTTGAAGAAACAGAAAATTATATCACAAATGTTTTGTAATGAAAACTAAAATTTATTTGGGTGTTCAACATGTTAACATATTGTAGTATTTTTATATTTATCCTGGGGCACAGGAAAGCGAATTAGAAAGCCGATAAGGCTCTGTGCCACGGCTCTCACGCGGTTGCTATTCCATGTTTGGTATGGGATTAGTTAGCCAATTGCGT